GCGCGTGGCTCCTACCAGCGCTGGTGGTGGAGGGATTGTTGAGGGCGGATCTCCATCCTGCCAATTGACGATCCTTGTCAATCTTGCGCTTATGAGATCTGTACTTTGCCATTGTGATTGTGATTTTCCTGTTTCTCCTCCCGCGCGGGCGCAAATGTTTAGCAGCTAGGCTGTAGCTGGAAAGGCGGGTTCAGAGTAGCCGGGCGGATGGCAGCGTGATGGTGGAGCACATGAAGCTGGCTGGCTGCAACTTCATTAAGCGATGTGTGTGCTTGCGCGCGAGTCAAGTCTGAGCACGCGCGCACACACACACACGCACGCACGCACCCACGCACGCTGCTCATGCTATTCGATCGACTTTTGCCTGGATTGCATGGCGTGCGTGTATGAACCTCCACATCGTTCGTGCTCATTCCCGATTCAGCAGCAGCAGCAGCAGCGTTGACTCTGACCGCGGGATGCATGGACCAACCCACGACTCAACTCTTCTGCTGCGATCGACTGTTCGACGCTAAGCGCCTCCTACCAGCACTTTTCATTATTGTGATTCCAATCACACTGAGCCGCGCGCCCAAAGTCCGCGTCGCGCCGCATGCATGCATGCAGGAATCGATCCAACCCATCCATCCATCAGCTCACTCATGACTGCCTTGTGCCTGTGCGCGCCCGCCTGTCGTCCGTACATTTACCGTACGTGATTCGCGATTCCAGGCGATCTGCTACGCGTCGAGGACACGGTCACGTGCTCCCACAGGTAAGAAAGAGAGCAGCACGCATACGGCACACGTTTACCGGTACACAAGCTTTCGTACAATTATTCGATACCAATGCCCTCGACGCCCGAGCTATCGTCAGCACCACCGCACTGCGCACACTCAAGAGTCAAGACTCGCCACTTGGGGCAAGACCGCGCCACTCACATTGCAAATCGGGCAGTGTGCGGTACATCGACTTGTAGCCACCTCTGCTGCGCTTGATTCGTAATGCGGCTCAGCGAGAGCAGCTGGTCATCCAGCGCGAGCGGGCTGCTCGTAGCGCTCAGTCCCAGCTTGCTCATCTTGTGCACCTATCTGGGTACATGCGCAGCGCTGCTCGTATGGGTGTACAGCAAGGCTTCGTCTGCGTCTGCGTCTGCGTCTGCGTCTGCGTCTGCGTCTGGCGTGTCCAGCAAGCGTTCACGTTCACGGCTGTGGAAGGTGGGTAGCCTGCTCTCGCTGGCTTTCACGTGGTATTTGTGAGTGCTCGCTCACGCGCCGCTAGAGGCTTCCAACGAGCGCATACACGCGGTCGTTGACCCCAGCTCCAATCCACCTCAGCATGCTCGCATTTCTACGCTACTCATACGTAGACTATGTGAATAGCAGCCGCACGCTCAAAGCATCCACCTTGCAATGCCTCAAGGATTGGCTGGACAATACGCGTCTGTTCGAACAAGCTTGGCTAAGGGTGGTGCAAGGTCCCCGCGAATGGTGGTTCTCCTCCGAAATTTGCGTCATCACGACAGGTGCTTGGACATTGTGGATAAGAGCAAGGCGTGAGTGTGCGCTCCTCTCCTTCTCGCTGCTTGCTGGGAACAGCGAAGCTAAAGACTGCGAATCTTGGCTGTCCGCATGTATGCGCGTAGAGCGCCAAGGCAAGCTCAGGTATCCTGCCGCGTACATGGTTCTGGGTCAGATCGTAGCCATCAGCGTTGCTGCTGCCCTTTCCTTTCTTGCCGTAGCCGAGGATACTACAGATGCAAGTACAAGCCCACCAGACGACTCTAGCTCTTCCAGCGCACCTGGAAAGGGAAGACGCCCTCAAGACAAGAGGCAAAACAGCGCAGCAAGCTGGGTGCTGCTTTTGGAATTGGTCTTCTTTGCTGCTGGGGCATGGGCAGTGTCTTCGCCTCCACGAGACTTGCTGCAGATCCTCACCATGCACATCTTTCCTCTTCTTCTCGTCCTTTTACCTCCAAGCGACGCACGTCATTTTAGGTTTCTCGCCTTGGGGCTGAGCATCTACGCTGCCGCTTTGCGCATTCGAAATACGTTAGCAGTGTTCACGACGCTTCAAGCACAAGAGACGTTCATCGAAGCGCTCTGGAACACTTTCTGGGCGCATCCTGCTCAAGGAAGCATCTCTTCGGACCATGTCGCCGTCTCTCAGCTCGTCAGCTCTCGCATACTCTCCGAGTGTTCGAGCTCGAGCACAATACGCGCAAATCGGTCAGGCATAGCATTAGCCAGCCTCACGCCGCTACTTGGTCCAGCTTGTACTCTCGCCGCATGGGTCGCCATTACTCATGAGTAGATCGCTAGCGGCGTGGCAGATCGATATGCCAAAGCTGAGCGCGTACCCGCCTCATCTGCTCGCCGGCTACTTGGTCTGGCGGGTCCAAAGCCTATTTGAATTTGCGGCCTGCGCGCCACAGATCAACGCGGTCCGACTTCTTTCTGACCCTTGCCCGCAATGGGCGGACGATTTGTGGCGGGGCGTTTTGCAAAATGCGCTCTCTGGCCTGCGTGATTCGACACTCGGCTTGCGTGCTCTTCAATTTGACGACTGATTGCGCTCGCCCGGCCGCCATCACATCACACTCACCAGCGCTCGACCTTGGAAGGAGATCATGCTTCGTCGTTGTGGACGTCATCCCATCAGATTTTCACCTACACTGCGGAGAGGTGTGATCACGCAAGGCGGACCTTTGAGGCGACTCCGTCCATCTTTTCATAACGAATGCCGGAATTGCATCACGTTTGCTGATTGCACATCGTCCGAAGAAACTTCGAACGAGAGCTTCGTTGACTTGCGAGGCTTCGCATGCCGTCTTGGCCCTGAAGCAGTCAATGTCAGGGCGGCTGCCACCCACGACGATGCCAGACAGTGCCACCTCATAACAAGAAGAGCGCATCATGCGATGAGCACAGGTGATCCTGTGGAGTACGGAATTCACACTGTAGTAGAGTGTCTCATTGAGACGCCTGCCATACTTGCTGTGCCACACAATCGATCCTCGCTGTCCGGTATTGCCAGCCCAGTGCCTGTGATCTGCGGGGCATGCCAGCCGTGCACGCCACGCAATCCTGCCGTCAGGGGAGCCTTGAAAAGTGCACATGAGGCATGCCGCGCAGAAGCGTCCCAAGTCCAACGAGCATCTTGCAGTCTGTCTCACATTTTCGCAAATGTGACAGACGTCGGTCATGCCCGGTGGCACAAGTTCTAGAAGCAACATCATGAAGACGTCTGATTGATTGAGCAGCACGACACGGCTAGTCGCGCATCGTGCCACGAATGTTCATCTCAACTCACGCCGCACATGAAATTCTGGTTCGAAACGCCCGCACTCTAGACTCGTATCCGCACCCGGACCGACACTTGTCCCTTGAACCTGGCATTGCTTCGTGAAGTGCAGACTCAAACGCATGGGTGTGAAGCACGATGAGAATCACGGCATGGCGTGATCAGTCTTGGAGATTGCGTTGAACGGGGCATGACATCACACTACGTATCTTTGAGCCTACATGGGGCTCTTCTCGCCGCTTCGGTCCCGTTGCGCAGACCGACGTTCGGCCTTTCGCGCCCCCATACTGGCTCACGCATCAGCAATAGAAGAGGAAGATCTGGCAGTGCGAGGCATGGCAATCCATCCGCCTTCTTTCCCGCTCGCATTCGCGTGCTGCCCCCGTTCTCACTGCTGCTGCGTTTGGTTTGCTGCAAGATGATGGATGGAGAGCCGCTGGCGGTATGACGTGCGCAGTATACCCACCCACCCCCCCAGTACCGAGTCTTGCGCGCGCCGGTACAACAT